GGCTCGGGGTGAAGTGCGGGGGCTTCCCGCAGCGCCTGGCGGGGCAGGAGCTCGTGGGGGGCTGGAAGAACCCGTCCCCACAGGCCCCGGGGATTGAATCGCCTCCCCGCAGCGCGTGTGTGACGTTCCCTGCTCTGTGTTCACGTTCAAGGCCCGGTCAGGCCTCACGTTCCGAGCCCTCGGCCTGGTGGCCGGAGCGTGTCAGGACTCGGGAGCAGAGTGGCCGTTGTCACCCGTTCCGTGTCTGTGTTCCCCTTTCCCTCCCTGTCTCTGCTCTAAGGTCATCACAGGCTTCAGTTGCTTTCTGTCAGGCACTTTGTGCAGCTCTGTGTGCATTCAGCTCTCCAAGGGCTTGTCCCAGGTATCTTAGCTTTGTTTCACAGAACCACAGCCTGGTGGGGCTCAGAAGGGACCTCTCAGATCATCTAGTCCAACCCCCTACTCTAGAGCAGGTAGCACAGGATCCTGTCCAGGCTGGGGCTAGAATATCTCCAGAGAAGGAGATTCCACAACCCTCCTGGGCAGCCTTCTAGTGCTCCATCACCCTCCAAGTCCATAAGTTTTTCCTCCTATTCAGATGGAACTTCCCCTGTTCCAGTTTGTGCCCATTGCCCCTCATCCTGTTGCTGGGAACCCCTGGGAAGAGTCTGGTCCCATCCTCCTGACACCTGTAGATATCACAGGCATTGCTCAGGTCCCCTGCCAGTCTTCTCCAGACACACAGGCCCAGGTCTCTCAGCCTTTCCTCACAACAGGTGCTCCAGTCCCCTCGTCACCTCTGTATTCTTGTGTGTCCCCAGTGCTGCCTGGCAGAGCTGGGAGCCTCGTGCTGTCCCCAGCACAGGGCTGTGGCACAGAGGCAGGCTGTCCCATGGGGCCTGGCACATAGGGCTGCAGGGAGGTGCTGCTCTCTCTGCTGCAGTCAGGGAGCTCCAAGGGATAGTTTTGGTGGGAGTTCTGGTCTTTCCTGGATCCAGTTCCATCCTGATATGCTGTCTCTGCTGCCAGGTTATCCAGGAGGAGGAAGAGCAGCCTCAGACCAAGACCC